AGTGTGTAGGTGACTGGCAGGGCAGGGGAGGGTCCAGTTGAGAGTGTCAAATATGAATTCCCTGAAGCAAGGCATTTTGTGCTTTGGGAAATTGCAAATCCTTCATTGTTAGTTAATTTCAGGGGAAGCCCGGGAGCAGGGAGGACTGTGGTGACCAGGAACCAGACCCTCAGATAATTGTGTCTCTCAGTTGAGAGAAATAATCCTGGAATGAAAACAATTCCTATTAGTCACTTTTATATAGTGAGTAAAAGCAGGAATGGTAGGTTCCTTGCATGCTTGTCACAGTGAAGTTGAACACATTGCACTAACTACATCATATCCACTGTATTTGAGAATTAATAACGATACTACTTTGAGGTGAAGGAGCTCTGGTAGCACAGTGACTAAGGCATCTGAATGCTAACCAGAAGGTTGGTGGTTCAAACCCACCAGCCACTCTGTGGAAGCAGTACTGGGCAATGTATTTCCGTAAAGATATACCACCTTGGAACCCCAATGGGGGTTGCTATGAGTCAGGATTGACTCAATGGCAGTGTGTTTGCTTTTTTTGGTTACCTTATGGTGAGATTCCCAGAAGACACCAGGCTGGCTGTATGTCAGTGGGGCTGGGAGAGACAGACCCCACTGCATTCAAGGCGTATTTTAATTTTTTTAGTTAATTTGGCTACATCTAAAATTTTGATGAAGGTGAAATTAATGCAAAATCTGGTGCTTTGGTTGGAACTGAGGCAAGGTGTTTGTTCTTGACAGAAATTCTAGGACCTTTAAGTTGTGTCGAGCTGGGAGAGACATCTTTATACATAAATTAAATCATATACCTCCTGAGGGGAAACATTCCTAAGTTTTACTTCCTTAGCAATATGTTTATCTGTTTTCCTATTCTGTCTCAGAAAGCACTTCATGTTCTCTGAGATATCCTGTATTAAAAAAATAAATAAAAGTAAGGACAGGGTGGTAGAGTTTTGAGAAGACATAATCTCAGCAGTAGCTCTCATTCTTAAAGATGTAGCATATGCCAGGTACTTTGCCAGTTTTAATTCTGATTTTATTTATATGTTACACATATTGTAACCATCATCAGACCCATGAACTGGAACTCAGTGAGCTTGGGAATGTGAGTTAACAGGGTATATTTGTTGTTGACAACACACACAGCAAACCAAACATGTATGGATTTGACCGTTTCCACATCTACCTTGTGGTGACATTGATTATGTTTTTCAAGTGAGCCGCCATTCTCGCCCTCCTTTTCTGACTTGTTCCTCCCTCATCAACATAACCTCACCACCCCTAAGTTTCCTATCTAATCTTTGAGTTGCTATTGTCACTTTGATTTTAAAGTTCCTCACATTTCTGTTAAGAACAAGCGCCTTGCCTCCCATCAAACCAAAGCACCAGTGTTTTCAGTAGTTCTTAAAAGAACTTCATGTTCAAAGCAGACATTTCTTTTTTTTTTTTTTACTATTTAGGCTAAATTATTTTTTGGGATATTTTTGGTTGAAGCTTAAAGATTATCTCAGGGCAATAATTTCAGGGGTTCATCCAGCCTCTGTGGCTCCAGAAAAGTCTAGAATCCAAGAGAATTGTTGACAGAGCTGAGACTAGACTCCTGGTCTGAATTCGCTAGTAGTAAACTCTCTTTCACTTCTCCCAGCCTGAGGTCATTGTCTTCCTCTTTATTTATTTGTTTTCCTTTTCAATACTCTGTAATGTCACCTAAGTAATAGAAAGAAACACCCTAAGTTCAAAGTAAAATACACAGGCCTTATAAAAGATTGTGGAAATGAGAATAAAACACACTTTGGACATATGTGTGGGTATCACCCACATCTTGTGTCATGGGACTAGCCCTTTTTATTGAAGTATGAGCAGAGTATTAAAGGCATTTGAGAACCGATGTGTTACCAGTATGCTTTCTCCTCTATTCAGCAGCAAACATGGAGTCCCCATCTCGTGCTGACAGAAGCAGCTGATGGAACCAGCTTGAATCCTTGTGTCACCTGATGGCAGACAACTCCTGCTACCCCACAACAAATTTTATGTGATGAAAAATAAAACTGAGTATTGTTTGAAACTATTCTGATTTCAGGTTCTTTGTGTTACATCAAGTAGGAATTGTTTTCTCTGAATACTGAACAACTTCTCTCTCTTGTTTTAAGCTTATGTAAAACCAAACTCACTGCTGTGGACTTGGATCCGACTCATAGCGACCCCTCCCAGGCGGTATCACTACGGAAGTAGATTGCCCAACCTTCTTTCCAAGGAGTAGCTGGTGGGTTTGAACCACCAGCCTTCTGGTTAGCAGTCAAGTGCCTTAGGCACTACACCACCAGAGCTCCAATCCTTAACGATAGTGGCTGACAATTAATATTTTGTATGGTCTTATTTAATCACTTTAATTTTGGGGGGATAACTTCTTGTTAGATTTGATAAGATTGCCATTGTTTTAACCTCATATTATAGCAAATGATAT